GAGGTGAGGGGGTGGGGGAAGGTGAGGGAGTCCTGGGAGGTGATGAGGGGGGCCAGGGGAGATGAGGGGGTAAGGGGAGGTGAGGAGTGGGGGGAAGGTGAGGGAGTGAGGGGTGAGGGGAGGAGAGGGGGAGACCAGGGGAGGTGATGAGGGAAGACAAGGGGAGGGAGGGGAAGGGGGGTGGACAGAATTGAGGGGGAGGGGTCCTGGGAGGTGAGGGTGGTCAGGACTGGTGAAGGAGTCAGGGGAGGTCAGGGAGGTCACAGGAGGTGATGGGGCTCACCTGGCTTGGACCTCAGGCTGTGAGACCCTTCAGGACTAACGGGTCCTACAGGGTCCACACCACGTGGTCTCCCTCAGCTCAGACACAGGTGTGGGTGAGCAGCTGATCCACACAGCACCCACTCCTACACCCCTCAGAGCGCCCACAAACATACACCCCATGCCTCAGTCCTGCTCCCAGCCACAGAGCTCTTTTCCATGTACCCTCCTGGCCTGGAGTGGGGACCCCAAAGATGTCCAGTCACGGGGGTAGGGGGGTACCACCAACCTGGGCAGGGGCAGACAAAGGAGGAACACAGTGCATATGGGAGGTCTGGGCTGCGGCTGAGTGTGTATGCTCCCTGGCTGGCTGACTGACCCACTCATGCTATGGGGTCCCACGTGGCCTGCCCCACAAGGACAAATAGAGGAGTTGGAAGGGAAGCTAGCATTGCTGCAGGCCTCTGCTCAGACTAAGGCTGCCCCAGCCGGCCCCCACCAGCCCCCACCCCCAGAACAGGTCTGACCAGCTGTGAGCTTCTGTGTGCTCTCCTGAGCTTGTGGACTGGAGCCCAGCCAGGAAGCTGCAGGAACTGAGACCTCAGCCCACGTCATGGGCTTCTCTACCATGGCATTGGCATCGAGGTGGGGGCGGCCCCTGCCTGAGGCCTGTCATGGGCCCGGTGAGAGGGGGAACAACAGACAGAGAGCCACACACCTGGGGCCTGGGGCCACAGCCAGGGACAGCAGGCAGGCAGGCCAGGCCCCAAGACAGGGGGGACAGCAGGCAGGGCATGGGACTCTAAATGGTGGTAGGGGTTAGACTGGACATGGCCCTCCTGGTTCTAGCCACCCCCGACCAGGGAGCTGGGTCACAGAGGGCCTCTGTGTGTTTGTCCCCGGCTGCCCGGCACTAGCACCCAGCTTTCAATTGAGTGTCCCCCAACACCCTGGCAGGCAGGTCCTGGACTCCAACACCATAGCCTGTTTCCCCATGTGTAAAAGAGGGTCACATGAAGTGCCCTATCTCCCCTTCTACCCTCAGGGTCCTGCGTGGTTCCTCTGCCCCCCTCTCATCCCACTACTTGCCCAACACCGGGGTCCCAGGAGGTCAGAGAATCCCTGAGAAGTGTCAGGTGACAGGCAGGTCCTGGGAACACACAGTGGGGAGAACTTCCCCATGGTCCAAAGGAGTCCTCCGAGGTGTGGTTTTATTTCACCGTGGCAGCCTTTCTACAAAACATGCCATTTTACCTATTTTTAAGCAACTTCATTACACTCAGCATGTTGTACAACCGTCACCTCTCCCCAGTTCTAAAACTTCTTCACCCCAAAGAGAACTTCTGTACCTCTGAAATGATAACTCCCCATTATCTTTGATGTCAGTTCATTGGCCCACTTGGATTGTTCACCCAAGTGGGGTCTCTTATCTTTGTGTGTGACTTCTCTCTCAGTATCATATTCCCAGCTTCTTTACTCCGGTCAGGTCGGGTCGAAGCTCATCTTCACTTCTAGGTGTGGTGGAGGATTATGTCATGGGGCGGTGGACCATGATTTGTTTATCCATTACCTGGTGATGGATACGTGGGCAGTGTCCACCTGTAGTCACTGTGGACGCGACCTGGGCAGGGTCTGGGACTCTGGGGGAGGCTAGCCGAGTGGCTGAATGTCGGGGGTACTCAGAACTGCATGAGGGACTAAAAAGTAGAGAACTGACCCAGATGACCACCACCAGTGATATCAGGTGGCAGTAACTGAGGGCGCAGAGAGAGTAGGACTGGTCCCCTGGTGGGGGCTGCGCTGCTCAGGGAAGGGGGTACCCCAGGTTGGGGAACATGGTCCGGTGTGGAGGTCTTTGAGACATTGAGTCAGCTACCAGAGCTTCCAGGGGCCCAGCCACTGTGACGTGCTTGGGGAGTCCAGGGGTGACCTCCTTGGACAGTCTCCATCCCAAACTGGGGCTCTGACCTTACCAGCTCCTGGCAGGTGTATGCCCCGTCCATAGCAGGAGGCCCTGCAGCCCAGCTCCCTAGGACTCTGATCCTCATTTTCCTCCTGCGGTACCAGTAACGCCCTAACCTGACCCACTGGAGGCCCCAGAATCTCTAGGGACTGGAGCAAGGAGGGGGGTGCCTAGGACCCAATGGCTTGGGACCAGCTAGAGGGCTAGAAATGAGGCCTGAGCAGGCCCCAGGTCTCCATCTCCCCTATGTCACCAAAAGCCTGGGCCCCTGAGTTTTCCCCATGGGCAGGAATGGGGGGGGTTTGAAGACCTAGCCCAGGAAAAGCAGGGGAGGGACCCCACCTGGGGTCATCGCATCACTGTAGGCCACCCCATCCTCTCCCACCCCCAGGCCCCCAGCAGGGCGCCCAGCAGGGCTAGGCAGTGACTGAAAACCTCTTTCATATGTAGGAAGGTGGGCTCCAAGTAGAAGGGCCCTCTAGAGTTCTAGACTGTGGAGCAATGGGGGCTCCACCTTTGGCCTTGTGAACTGGAGGGAGGGTGAGTGCCCATGGAGGCTATAAACTAAAGCAGGGAATGCTTTCTCATGCTCCCAGGAACCCACCATACCCAGGGGCACTGTACCAAGGCCAGGTCCACGAAGGGGGCATTGTATATTGGCATGGTCATTGAGAATACCACCTAGGCCAGATCCGGTATGGACACTGCCGCAGGGCTTATGAGAGTGGTCTGTCTCTCCAGTCCCAAGGACCACAACCCTAGGCTGCTCCCAGCAACAGTCCCCCATCCCTGGGAGGCTGCTGGGAGCAGGTTTTCTCCGCAGGGAAGCGTTGGGCCTCTGCCCTGTCCCCACCCCACCCCAGGCCCCAGGGCGCTGGTGACTTGGGATGAGGAATTTCCTGGGGGGGCGGGGGGTGGGGGTGGGGGGGAACCAGCCTAAAGTAAAAGTGCAGAATTCTTTCCATTTCTCTGAGATGACTCATGGGCTCTGCCCAGCACCACCAAAGTCCTGCAGATTCCAGGAGCCAGTACTGCTGCCCTTAGTCCCCACGCCCACCCCTCCCCTGCATCATCCCACCAGCACCCCTCCCCCACTGTCCACAGCACCCCTCCCCCACCTGTCCACAGCACCCCACCTGCTCCCTTCCACCCCCCCCCAGCTCCTCACCCAACCCCCTCCCTACCTGCTCCCCCCTCCCTCAGCTTGAGTATCTTCTGTCTGCCTTCTTGGTCACCCATCCTTGGGGGCTCAGCTGCTCAGTACCAACAACGTCCATCTCAGGGTCCAGCTCACCTTCTCCGTCCAGTCCAGGTCTTCCCAGGGATTAGCTGCCTGGAGTGCAGTGAGCCCAAAGGGAAGCTGAGCAGAGAGGTTCTGTCTGAAAAGCTGACTTCATTATGGGCCCAGGAGACCCATTCCCCACTCTCCTGCCACTCGGTTGCCCCACCTGGAGGTGTCAGCAGAGTAGAGGTGACTTTCTGCTGGGCCTTGGACTTCCCATCAGGCACGTTGATAGAAGCTAAGCTCTGGTAGTGTAGTGGTTACGAGTCGGGCTGCTAACCTCAAGATCAACAGTTCGAAACTATCAGCAGTTCCGCGGGAGAAAGATGAGGCTTTCTGCTCCCGTAAAGATTTACAGCCTCGGAAATCCTGTACAGTGTCGACTCCACGGTCCTTAACAACAAGACCCCTTCAAGAGCCCTAGGGCACCTCCAGTGGAGGCCACTGGGCTCCCTCGGCAGTAAGGTGTGGGAGGTGGGATGGGCCTGGTGTGTCTGCCTATAGCCCTGCCCAGCCACACAGGCCAGCCAACTGCCCACACACACACCTGAGGATCCACCTGTGAACAGGTGTGTGGGCACAGGTACGCTGCTGCCTGGGCCAGTCAACCTGACCTGGGTTGACCAGGTGCTGGGGTGGGTGTAGGGCAGAGGGAACACCCTCTAGGGCCAAGGCCCAGAGCACAACCACCTCCTCCAGAAAGCCCCTCCATGCATAGGCCACTTTTGGGAGGGGGATGCATGGTCTTTAGTGATGGTCTGGGGCTGAGCTGACCTGATCCCAGGGAGGGTGGGCGCTTCCCTCCACAGAGGTCCCCTCAGCTCCTGGTCTGCTCCCCACCTTTGCCCAGAGAAGTGACTCTGAGGTTGGAGAGTGTCCACTCCTTTCTGGCCTGATTGTTCTGGGGTGGAGGTGGGCATTGGGGGAGCCTAGCTAGAAATGGGGAGCCCTGCCTGGGTTCCTCGGCACCCCCAGGCTCTGATTGGGGTTACCACGAGACCTCTTTATCCATTCTCACTCCCCCTGCCCTCTCCTAGAAAGACACCGTTGGCAGGAGGGACCTGAGGAAACCCCATGTGTGTGGGGCAAATGAGCCTGGCTGGCTTCGAGCCTGGCTCTCGGCTCAGGGTCTCCTCACTGCTCCTGAGATCCTCCCTGTCCCCTCGGTGGGCACCCTCCCTGTGCACCCTACACAGTCAACCCCTAAACACCTGAGGCGCCCCTCAGCACCCCACCCAGGGGTTGCTCCTGAGAGCTAAACTCCGGTCCTGGTGTCAAGAGCCTCAACTAGGAGGTTCTGGAAGCTTCTGCCAGAGGCACACTGGCACAGCTAGAGGAGAAAGCAAGTCTGAGGGATCATCTGCAGAGTGGCCTGGCCCGGTTCTGTCCAGGCTGTGGCAAGAAGGGGTGCTGGGAGCCTGTTGCAGGACAGGCGTGGACCAGGCCACCTTCTTGTCCTGTCCATGAGCAGAACTGGGACCATGCTGATCCGAGACCATGGGACAGTGGCCAAAGTGGGAGGCTCTCCTTTTCCATCCATGCTCTCCTTCTGGGCCATTGGAGGAAAGCCCTGGGGGATAAGGGGAGCCCAGGCCTAGCCAGCTCCTGGGAAGGCGCCAAGTAGAGCTGTCATCATCTTGCCCTATTTCTCTTCAAGCCCAACCTGTTCTTGGGAGGAGGGTGTGCCCTGGCAGTCTCCTGGTGGCCTCTAGAGGCGGGCAGAGGTCGCATGTGACGCAGGTCAGCCTGCCACCCACACCCACGAAGGCCACTCCTCCCTCCCCTGGGGCTGCGGACCAACAAAACCAAACCCACTGTCCTCAAGTAGAACTCTCCACAGGGTTCCCAGACTGTGACCTTTCAAAGCACGAAGCCAGGCCTTTCTTCCGAGAAACCTCCTGGTGGACCCCAACTTTGTTGGTAGTCAGGCACCTAACTCTGCCACCTAGAGTCTCCCCAGGGATTGAGTGTGTCAACCGAGAGCCACCAAGACCGGGACCCTGCTCTGAACCCAGTGGGGTGTGTGTAAGCTGACATCCACCCCCAAGAAAACCAAGCTGATTTCCACTCAGAGCAACTCTCTGTAGTATTTCTAAGACCGTAAATCTTTATGGGAGCAGGCAACTTTGTGTTTTTTCTCAGAAAAAAAGGCTTGAGCCAACTTTGTGGTTTGCAGCCCAATGTTTAATCCATGCTGGGAATCCCATCTGAGGGGTGGTTCCGCTACAGTGCATGCAGGATGGTCTGGGACCCCCACAGCACCTACCGAGACCCTCTGTAGTTGACACATCCCTGCTGCTCAGGGTCCCCAAGGCCACGGGGACTCAGGACAACAGCCCCTCTTTAAGATGGGCTCCTAGCTGCTGACAAACAGGCATGCATTGTGACCCCTCCCAGCCCCTCAGCAGCCCCTTTCTTCCTTCCTCCAGGAGCCCCACAGGCAGGGTCTGTGTGTCTCTCCATGCTTGGTGCCCGGGTGCTCTGGAGTTCACAGAGGGTGGTGGTGGTTGGTGACGGAACCCATGCAAATGGCAGGCAAATATGGCTTTGCTCACGGGCTCTGCTTCCGGCTCCTGGGGAATCCCCACAGCTGCCCCAGCCCATGGGCCAGCTGGGAGCGAGGGTTCTGGCTAGGGCAGCCTGCCTAAACTGACTGTCCCCAGGTGTCTGCTAGTGGGGGCTGGTCAGGATTGGGGGCCCCTGGAGAGAGGCAGGCCAGCCTCCTCCTCCCTGGACAGCTGGCCTCTTCTGGGTAGACAGGAGGGAGGGAGGGAGGATGGGGCAGGCATCCCGACCCCACTCATATGGGGTCCCTCAGTGATGAAATCCTTGGGTTCTGAGCCCCAACAATAGCTGCAGCTTCACAGCCACAGGTCAGCTGCTTCATGGGGGAAGAATGAGGCTTTCTGTTCCCACAAATACTTGAAGCCTCAGAAACCCTATTCAGGGTCGCGATGAGTCGGAACCGACTTGACAGCACAGCTGCGTGTGCATGGGGCTCAGTGAAGAATGCTTTAAGACTTTCGGTATCACCACCACGTACAGGAAGGCAGAGGCTGGGAGTTCTGGGATCAGAGGAGGGGACAGAAGGCCTTCAGGGGAAGGGATGGCAGACTAAGCTCAGCAAAGTAGGGTCCATCCCAAATCCTGGGCGACCCTGTGCCCACAGCCTAGTGTCCTTGGTAAGGAGTGGGGTACTCTTGGGCATAAGACCGCCCCCCGTGAAGTTGGAGTTTACAGCTCTCAGGGTTGGCAGATGGGCTGGGCTGGGGTCATGGCCAGTGGAGACAACCTAGGCCAGGCTCTGAAGTCCATCTGGTTGCATTGGGCTCATCTCCTCTGAGGACTCCATCCCTGCCTCTCCAGTCCCGCCCCTTTTGGGCTCCCACGTCATTTTCCTTTCTGGCCTCTCTTTTGGCTGAGCATTCAGGGTGCTGATGCCAGGCAGCCATGTTTGTGTACCCACCTCCCACCCAAAGGGGTCCAGGCTGCAGGGGGTGGTCCAGAGGGAGCAGCAGCTGCCAATTGGGCTGGCTGTGAGCTGGGTCTTGGCTGAGGGCTCCGGTCGACACTGGGCCACAGTTCACCAGGCCGCCAGCACCCACTGATGCCAAGCCTCACCCTTACTGACTCCACGTCTTTCCAAGATGTTGCAAAATCCTGGCCTGCCCTGCTGGCTCCTGTCCGCAGCGGGTGAGAGGCGAGAGGGGAAAGGGCTTCCCAGTCAGGGAGACCAAGACCCTGTCAGCCCCAGTGTGGGCCCTGGAGTCTGTTCTGGGATGGGGAAAACACTGAGGGTATTCCTGGAACCCAGGGGTGGTGGGAGATCTCGGGGGTGGCAGTGACTGTGCTGGGCGTGATGGCCATCTGGGGCATCGTTGAGGTGGGCCATGCGGGCTCAGTGGGGAAGTGAAGCTAGAAGGTCTTGGGGTGCTAGCTGGGACTGAGGGGCTAGTATTGACTGGGGCTGGGATAAGGGTGGAAGCAGGGAAGCGGCCGTGGGAAGAATACAGGGGGCCGGGGTACTATGCTGGCCTAGGAGCAGGCGGGAAAGCATCCAGGAGGCCAAGGCATTGCATGGGGAATGTGGGTGGACTTGACTCTGATGAAGGAGGGAAAGAAGGGGCTCAGGGACAGGGTTGAAAACCCGCGGGGATTGAGGACTTAGGAGAGTCAGGGGCAGCAGAAAGTCCCTGGGGGACGCCCCTCACTCCCTGTATGTGTGCCTGTGGTACACGTGTGTGCAGTGTTGGCATTTGTTAATTAAGTGCCGCTCAGTATGGCTGGATGGGTGTGTGAGAAACGCACTGGGACACATTTGTGTGTGTGCAGGTGTGGATGTGCACATCTGTGTGCGTGGTCTGTAACTAGGCATGTACATGGACACATTCGTGTGTGAGATGTGGATGGTCTGTGAGTGTGAACAGGTATACACATGGACACATCGGTGTGTGTGCAGGTGTGGATGTGCACAAGCATCTGAGTGTGAGTGTATGCGTAGCCTGTACGCAGGTGTTTGCATGCATGTGGGATACTGTGTTGGAGTGTGTGTGTACACGTGTCAGAACTCAACTGTGTGCATGTGATGGTCTGAGTGGCCAGGAGAATGTGTCTCAGTTTGTGTGGGTGCACATGGGATTGTGGACGACAGTGTGAGTGGCCTGGGTCCCAGCCTCCTCTGGGGCACCAGCCTGGCTGCAGTCACCATGGCAACAGTGCTGGTCCCTCCTACCAGCAGGACAGGGTGACCTGACTGCGGGGTGAGGCTGTGGTATCCACAGAATCCATCTCAGGGTGGGGTGGGCTCTGCGTCCAGGGGAAAGGGGAGGCAGGTGGTGGGATCCAGCCCCTGCCCATCCTGGCCTTGGTAGATGCCCATTAGCTGGCAGGCCCAGTGGATGGAGGTGCTCACATCACTGGAGCCCCAGGGCACCCTGGGGGATAAAAGGGAGAGCAAGGCCCCAGACTGGTCCTCTGGGATCAGTCGGGGGCAGGATGAAGGTCCAGATGCCTCAGCCTCAAAGGATGCCTACAGGGCCGGCCAGAGCTAGACTATTGAAGGAGGGGCTGGATGGGCCTTCAAGGAGCCAGGGAAAACAGGGAGGGCTGGGTATCCTCTTGGGGTCTTGGCTGGGGAGAATGGAGGGCAGTTATCAGATCTGTGTGAAGTGAGGTGGTCTGGGGTCAGGGGTCCACAGTAGGAGTCTGTTCAAGGAAGTGGAATGTGGCCGAATCCCACAGAACCTGCTATGCTAGGATGCGGTTGCAGGTTGCATACAAGGTGGGGACAGGGTGAAGTGGGCAGCAGTGGCCACTCTTGTTCTGTCCTGTCAGGTTATCTGGGGTCACAGGTGCTTCTCCCCAGCACCAGGTAAAAGAGGGAGCTGTCTGTACAAAGCACACAAACTGAGTTTATAAAATGCAGGAAATCTACAACATGCAACACCTCCCACTCATGGGACTCTTAAAGGATGGCCTGTGGACCAGGGGAGGACGCGGCATTCATGTTCAGGGTGGTGAGGTCCAGCCTTCCTTATAGCAAGGGGCGAATGTCCCCTCTCCCTGCTCTCTGTGCGGTGTGACCTGTAGCTGGACAAGGGTGGTAGGAGGCCAGGAGGGTCCCCAACAGGGGAAGGAGTGGTAGTCGACGGTACCAATGGGGGCCAAGCCTGCCCTGGGACTGGGACTGGACGCAGAGGCAAGGAGGGGGTTAAAAGTCAGAGTTGGGGGAGTGTACCCTGGCAATCCAAAATCCTCCATCAATGTGGTTGAAAGGTGCTGGTGTGGCCTCAAAGGACCAGCCCCTGGTCCGGGGGCCACTGTTGAAGGCTGAGGCAGTCCAGGGCTAGTGACCTTGGCCGAGGTCAACACCTGGTAACTTGGGTAAGACCACACAGGCATTTGTAGGTTCAGGACAAGAAATGAGTTGGGGTGGGCACCAGATGGTCAAGCCAACTCCCGACAAGGTGGACCTGGTCTGGTCCAGGCCCTGACCATGGCCGCAGTTAAGGCGCCCGCCCGCCCGCCCGCCCCATTGAGGTGGACAGCAGCAGGGTCCAGAGTGTAGTCGGGGTAATGCCAGGAGGATGGAGAGCAGGGGCGGGCATTCCTGGCAAGAGGGAGACGGAGGCAGCGAGGGACAGGGTCATAAGAGACCATGGTGAGGAGGGGGACCCTGCGGGAGCACCGCACCCCGGGTCTGAGCTCGGACCCCGAGGGGCGGACCTCTCACGTGCGTGCGGAGAGCCGGGTGGCCGTGACGCACACGCAGCGCACCGGTGTGTAACGCATGGTTCAGCGGGCGGACCTCGTGCTCTCGCCGGGACCGCTGCCCCAGGCGCGGACGCAAGAAAACGCGTGCCGCCCGGACCTGGCCGGTGACCTTCCTGGTGGGGGCGCAGGGGGCGGGGCGGGGCGGGGCGGGGCGGGGGCGTCCCCGAAATCCCGCCCGCCCGCTCCGTGCTTTGTCATTGGCCGCAGCCGAGGAGGCCTTTGAAAACTTGCCTCCCATTGGTTCCCGCGGCTCCTCCCCGCGCTATCAGGTTACTGCGCGTGCGCGGTGTGTGTGAGCGCGCGAAAGGTGCTGAGCCTTGACGCGTCAACGCCGTACGCCTCCGCGACTCTTACTACAGATAACGAGTCCCGGCTCTCCCCGCCCGCCAGCCCGTCCATCTGCCGCCCGCGCCGTCGGCTCTGGGACACACGCGCGCTTGACCTCGCCCCTTGGCCGTCTTGGTTGACGCGCGGTTCCCGGAGGCGGCTCCAGTGCGCGGCCTGGCTGAAAGGGGCGGGCCTCTTCGCTCCGCCCCCGCGGAGGGATACGCGCCGTCGCGGCCCAAAACTCCAGGGCGAGGCGGCGCCGGCGTGTGAGCGGTCGGCG